TATTGATAGAAAATCAAAAATATTTTACGAAAGGCATGAGTTTAACTTTTATTTTTTTCTCATTTGTTACTTCAGCGGTCAATTTAGAGACACTATAGTCAATGCAAATTACTTATGTTTCAAACGGCGTATTCTACCCGCGGTTGAAAATTCCAAATGAATATAACTGTTTATATTCATTGAACGGGTATTGAAAATATCTTTAAATCTAACATAAATTAGAATTAATTTTGTTTTCAAATTATTGATAGCTTTAAATATACACTTTTACTTAACTAACTGAACTTAAATAATAAATACACTCATAATCTGCCACATGACATAGCAAGTGGACTCAAACTCTAGTAAGAACACGAGACTCTTAATAAGAAGTCGAGATAAGTGTTGAAAACACCTCATAAACTTGACAAGAATGTAGGAGTGTATTTTACTCATGTGCAATATTAAAGTTGTATTTAAGTTCAGTTCGTCAAGTATAGAGATATTTTTAAGGTCCCAATAGTTCAAGGACAAAACAAATAATTCAGGTCAAGTCTAAGAGTATTTTTAATACTCTCCTCTACGTAAATTCAAAAAGCAAATCTCCTACTTTTAACAAGCATTATGGAATATAAATTTAAATTAATTGATTTCGAAACAGATACTGGACATCAAACAAAAAGAACAATCCTCAACCACAAAATGTTACACCATCTACGTAAGAAACCACCAATTTGACTAGCATAATATTATATTCTAACTTTCACCAAAAACATTATATACATATGTATCAAGACGATGAGTGTCTTTATTTAATTTCTCTTTCTTGACTCTATGCTTGGTTAAAGAAAATTTATTCTATATAGAACAAAAAAAAAGTAGAGTTATTTCTAGAAACCCTGAATAATCCTTAATTATCTACTACTTAATAGTTTTATATTGACACCCAAATATATATTTGCTTTCCCCTAGTGTCGTAAGATGTGATCTAACTCTAAAGAAACTTCATATTTGATTAGTTAAAATTTTGAAAAATATCCTTTTCAGTGAGAGCAGAGAAAACAAATTTCACAAATGACATTCTACATTGATCGTATCGTCAACACCCTACATCTTATATTCAACCTAAACCTTTAGTATTTGTGTAGATTGTATACAATACTTTAAACAATATTTTTTTACTTACGTATTAGACAAAAGATATAATGAAAACTCCATCAAAAAATATATTTTCCTCCCTACCAAACACGCCCTTAATGTCAAATGTTTGTTTCCAAAAACCAAAAACATGCCCCATATCAAGAAAATTGGGAAATCCACCGTTAAAATAATGCATGCCTCCAAAATAGACATGTCACAATTTGGTTATTAGTTGTCACTACTATCTAGTAGAATCAAATAAGCACTTATCATTTTATTATTAAAAATATATATATACTTTCTATACATATCTAGAAAGTTATATAAAATTCCAAGGTGTTTCAAAAAAAATAATCAGATTTATGATGATCAAATTTAAGCTGTGAAGAGATATTATTTGTGAATAAACAACAACATATCAAATGTAATTTTACCGCTGAAATTTAATTTTTCGAAGATTTAAACTTTTTAGTCATTATTTTATTTTTTTCGACGATAATTTGAAGGGAAAATCGTTGAAGGTGCTTAAACGAGACCACCAGGCCCAGCACTATTTTTGGACAATTTTTAGTGTTTAAGGTTCATTCTAAAGGCCCAATTACTTGTATATATCTGTAATGGGCCTAGAACATTAGTAATGTTAGTACTTTTTGATTGACACAAAATCTATAAAATAAAGAAAATATTTTAAAATTTTGTAGGAAAAAAAAAAGTCTTAGACATATGTGTAGTTATAAATGACATATTTTTCCATCATTCCTTCAAATGATTTCTATGTTTTTACTTGCCTATATTTTGCTTATACGGATCTACATATAAACTTGAATATACAAGTTGATCAGAATTGAATAGTTTTGGCCGAAACCATGTATATGTGCTTTAAAATGCGCTAAGTATATTCAAAAACTAAATTCAAAACTTAGTTACTAGCACTTAAGGTCATTAAACTAAATCGAGAACAATAAACTGAAGTTTAAATCCTAAATCAGCCTGAAATGCGTTAATTGAACTCACTTCTTTTTGTTAGCAAACCATTTTTCTCCTTTTTGTTAGTCTCAATGCATTGCAACTGAAATGTGGTTCAAACTTGAGAGCAGTTTTTATTTCTATTTAATATATTAGTAGAAGTTAGTAATTGGATTAATAAACTTCATACCACATTGTATATTTTTTAGGTGAATAACTATGATTTAGAAAGATTATGATACATTTGAGCAAATAAAATCATAGATGGTGATTGATCTGCTATAACTATAGCCAGATAAATGATAAAGTGTAGGGGAAACATGATCAAGAGATCACAGGTTCAAGTCGTGAAAATAACCTCTTACACAATTCAGTCATTTCATGTACTCTGTCGTAGCAGCTTTAGTGCACCGGCCAAAGTAAAGGTAAATATAGTTGTTGTAAGAATCATAAGAGCCAAAATTAACTAATCAAAGCACCTTCATCAATACTCAAGCACTATTTTGTGGTTGCTACTATTTTCATATTAGTTTCTATATTTTTCTTCACTGTCATTGCTTTGTTTCATACTTATTTTGATTTGTTATACTCGAACCTAGAATCATCCAGAAACAACTTCTTTACTTTCACGAGGTAGTGATAAGGTCTGCATAAACTCTACTCTCCCCTGATTACACTTGTGAGATTTCACTACGTATATTGTTGTTATGGAACTTTCCGACGTAAATTTGAATTTATCAGACTAAAATATCAATTTCGAACACTAAGAGAAAAATCAAATAAATAAAACGATTGGTGTTTGAAAGAATTATTACATACTTTATAAAAATTTCTTTGATAAATCTGAATTTCCCTTCATTGAATTTTATTTCTATTGTCTATCAATAGCATTTCAATGTAATTCTACAAAAGTGGAATACGAAGAACGTATAGAGCTATACACATATCTTATTACTATTTCGGGAGGTAGAGTATAGAGATGTTGTTTTCGAGAAAATATACTCCCATCACTTTGTAATTCTCAAAACTAAAGGGTTTAACTGTACAATTCTACAAACTTATAACTAATTTTGATTCCATAAAATAACCGCCAATAGCTAAAACCCCTACACAAACCTCACAAACTCCATAACAATGGCGAAAAGCTCAACAACAATGGCGTCCTTCAAACCATTCTTCTTCTTCTTCTTCAGTTCTCTTCTCTATTTTTCCACTGCCCAATCTCCGCCTCCACCACCACCTCCCCAATCTCTAATTAACGCCGCGGAGACTCTCTCGAACTCCGGCTATATTTCAATGTCACTCACACTTGAGCTCATTGCTGATACAGTTATCTCACGGGCTGCTAAAAATTCACTTACTGGTTCTGCTCTCACCATTTTCTCTCCACCCGATTCGTCTTTCTCCGATTTCGGTCAGCCTTCACTTTCTCATATCCTTCTCCATTTCTCCCCTGTTTCGATTTCACTCTCTTCACTTCAATCCCTTCCGTTCTCTTCCAAAATCCCTTCGTTATCACCTTCCAGTTCACTTTATGTTACGAGTGTAAGTTCTGATTCGCGAGTTTCTATCAACAATGTTGAAATCCTTGGTTCGCCAATTTATGATGATGGATATGTAATCGTTTTCGGAATTGAAGATTTCTTCACCCAGAATTTCACTCAGCCGGAAACAAATCGGAACCCGAATTTCAAATCGAGTCCTCAATGTATCAGGTTGGATCCATTTTCTCGGTTTTACGAGGTGTCGTTGATGTTGAAATCGAAGGGGTATTTGATTATGTCTTCGTTTTTGGAGTTACAATTGATTGGGTTTTTGAAGAATACGGAGCTGAAATTGACAGTGTTTGCTCCGATGGATGACGCAGTTGTTGGGTTTTCCGGGGATTTCCCTGTGTATCAGCAGCTGTTTTTGAGGCATTTGGTTCCTTGTGTACTGTACTGGACTGATTTGAATGAAATGGTAAATGGAACTGAGTTTAAGAACTATGTTAAGGGGTTGAGTTTGACGATAACGAAGGTGAATGATGTGAGCTTTGTTAATGGAGTCGAAATCACTTACCCGGATTTGTATTACAATGATTGGGTTGTTGTTCATGGATTACAGAGTTTGATTCCATTACCTGATGAAATTGATGGTGAAATGCATGAAGATCCTGTTAAACCCGAGGTTGATGTTTCTATCGCCCCTGATCGTAGTGAATTCTGAGGTATCTCTAAGTTCATTTCGAGCATCGTGTGTGATTGATTGTGTCTCTGTGTGTGTGTGTGTGTGTGAGATACTGGAAATTGCTGTTTCTGGGAAAAGTTTACTTCATAGTTTTCGAGTTGAAATTACACTTCTGTAGATTTTCGTGTTTTTGAATACGATGAAATTGCTTGAATAGAATCCAATATAACTGTGTTTGATCTTGAGAATGTTGATTTTCTGCAACGTAACCATGTTGATCTTGATAATGCTGGAGTTTTAGCTTTCGAGGATCAAGAATTTGCTTGATATGAGTTTTGTACCAACTAGAGACAATGTAACGTGCTTAGGGAAGTGTAGAATAACAATATGAACGAAGAAACATTAAAAGTAATAACTACGTCTCAATCTCAAACAAGTTAAGATCGACTATATGAATTTTGAATGGCGGGTACAAGAAAGAAAGTGGACGATAATAAAGCATATGAATGTTATAACAAAATTCAATTGTCAAAATGATTTCATCTTAAGCTAACAATATTAACGAAGAAACATAGAAAACAACTACGTCTCAGTCTCAAACAAGTTGAGGTCGACTATACGAATCCCTAATGACCATGTTTCTTCAGTCCCAAACAAGTTGAGGTCGGCTATACGAACCCCTAATGACCATGTTTCTTCATCTTAGGAAGGAACATAGAAATCCATAATACTACTCCTACTTTAAGCTTGTCTTTATCCAACTAAAGAACTTTTCCTTAGTTTCTCAAGTTTCCTCCACAAAGCTTTAACAGTATCCTCTTTTCCCTCGTCAAGAAGTGCACGTTTTAGGTTATCGAACAATGGAATTGGAGGTCTCATGCCCATATCAAGCATTTCTTGAAAGTATCTGCAGGCATCATCCAATTTATTCTCACGACAAAAGCTGTTAATCAACGTGGAAAACGAATGCATTCCAGGAAGAACTCCGTTAGCTTTCATCTTATCCCAGACCTTTAGAGCCATATCTGTTCGGTCCTCGTTGCAGAACATCCTTACCATTATCTCGTATGTGCTCACAGTCGGTTCACAGCCAGGATCATTGCTCATTTTCTGAAACATCGTATAAGCTTCACTCATTCTTCTTGCCTTTATAAGATGGTGAAGAATGATATCATAAGTTCGGGTATTTGGACCAATCTTACATCTCCTCATCTCATCAACTAACTTATACGCATCGTCCATACACAAAGACCAGCAATAAGCTCCCACCATCGCGTTAAACGTGTACACCTCAAGATCAAAACCACTACCCTTATACAACTCGAAATACTTAAGAGCTAGAACCAACCTTTTCTCCGACCCCAAACCATTTATCAACGTGCAATACACATGAGGCGTCACCTTAATCTTCTTCCTTTCCATTTCGTGTAACAACTCAATCGCCTCATCATACTTCTTAACCTTGCAATGAGCATGGATCATGATCCCATAGCTAACAACATCAGGCTCAATACCATCAGCCATCATCTCGCGATAAACTTCATTTAACCTCAACAAATTCTTTTCTTGACCCCATCCTTCTAACAATATTGTATACGACTTAATATTAGGCGTAAACTTCCTATTCTTCCATTTATCAAACACCTCTTGTGCATTCCCAACATGCCTAGACTTACTCAATGTATCAAACAATCTATTAAAATCTTGCAATTCATGTATCAATCCATACTTCTCCATCTTCTCAAACGCCTCAATAGCTTCTTTTACCTTCCTCGCACGAGCAAATCTCCGAGAAACGAGTGCAAATGCTTCTTTACACAATAACCCTTTGTTTTTCAATTCATTGACCAAAATCCAAACCATCTTAAATTGCTTAATCTTTCCTAGAGCTTCAATCAAACCATGATAACTTTCAGCAGTATGAACAAACCCGTTCTGCTTCTCAGCCCAACGGAAGAAAGATAAAGCTAAAATCCCAGAATTGCTGAGCTTCTTTATAACTTCGTTAACTAATAAAGGACTCACATTTACTGAAGCGGAACTCAAAGCATCAGCAACATCGGTGTTTTTCAGTAAGATTTTGCAGATTCTTTCAGCTTCCTGGATAATTTCTGGGTTTTGGGGATTGGGATTGGAATTGAGATGGGTGTTCTTCACTGAATCGTAATGAATTGATCTGTTTAAGGGTAAAGAAGTAGTAGTACTGCTATTACCAGTAGAAATTCGAAAAAAGGAGATTAATTTGTGGATTTGGGGTCCATTTTTTATGGGTTTTTTGGAGCTGTGAAGTGAAGGGATTAGGGTTTTAGGAATGCGGCTGAGGAATCCACGGAAACCCATTTCTCTGATTTACTGTTTGGGTTTTTGAAAACTGAGAAAATGGCGGACGGAGTGGAGAATTAGGGAAGATGAAGCAAATGAGAGAAGAAAAACAATTGTTTCTTTTTATTATTTTAAGAAAAAAATGAATTTTTTAAAAATATTTTTTTTTATCATATATTGATTAATTTGGTGAAAAGGGAAGTTTTGGAGTAATGATACAATTAATTATCTTGTATGACTCATAGGTTACGAGTTCAAGCGGTAAAAGCAACCACTCATGTTTGTGTCCCACCTTTTAAAGTATGGTCTTTCTTCGAATCATACTTACACGAAATACTTTGTATACTGAATTGTTGATCTATTCATTAATTTGGTATAACTATTGTGTGTCACAAAAAGAAAGAGACTCATAAAATGATAGAAACAAATTGAGCTTTTGTACATTTTAATTAATCCATAAAGTCCTCGTGATGAACAAGGAATATTAGTCTTCTCGTAAAATATTTTGACTAGTTAGTGTACACCTCGATTTTTTTTAGAAGGATAATTAATTATCTCCGTTTTTATATTACTTCGTGTTTTTTTCATGCTCTTGCGTGCATATAATTGATTAATCATAACTCGCTCCACTAAAATATCTTGTTTTTTGTCTGCAGCAAATCGTGATATGCATCGAGTCTACACAATATTGTGCTCTTACCATTAGACCAAAGCCCGAAGGCCAAAGGTAGACTTGTGGTGAGGGAAAACATACAAGTGCATGGTTTTTTTAAACCATATTTAGACTTTTTTGGCTTGTCATACTATCAAATACATAATTGTTACAGTTGTTAAAAGATCCTAGCTACTTTTCCAGCAAGATATCAACACTACGTTCTTGATCATGAATGAAACACTCAATTCAATTCAAATTGAAAATCGTTGTGTCTGGACCAACATGCATGTACCTCAACTATGTTCACGAGATACCTGCTACCTCTCACCAACTAACGTTCTGGTGCAACTCTACTACATTCGAGAGGCAGGCAGAGAAAGGGTATCAACTTGTAGTTCAATCTATTGTTGATACTCTTGCTGATATGTCTAGTCACTATTAAAACGCGTATAAAAGGAGATACAACAATAGTAGCTACATTTACAACCAACATAAACGCTCGAAGATCCAAAAGTAGTAACTTGGATAGCATTTGTACCAGACTTCTAAAGTATAGCATAGAAACAAAGAAAATGTCTAATGATTTTGTTCACAGAGAACTCAATAATCGATCTATTTAAACTGTGTAACACAATGTCCAGTGATGATAAAACTTAAAAAGGCATACATGTACGAGATGTGAAGACTCAACAATAAAAAAAATATAGATGTGGTACAATGGAGAGATTCCTCTTATTGTTGGGAGACAGTATATATGGTGGCTCTACGACTATGTTGTACGAAGGCCATAGCCCAATCCAAAACTTGGAAAGAGCCTGCCGATGCTTCTTCCAACTTGCAATCTCAAAATGAACACTGAAGAAGCGGATAACGAAGAACATATCTCCCAATAAAGAATTGTGGACCAAAAATGCATCTAAGCTGAAAGTACACAAACCTGGTCGTCAACTCAGGGCCAGTAGAAATACCAGACATTCAAATCGTACTTTGCTCGTCATCTGCATTGATTTGATTCTGAACTCAAATCATGAAGCAGTCTTTGTACAGAATCCCCTAAAATTTTCACTTGAGGTCCAGGTTTCAACATGTTGACATCACCCCATCGGGAACAAGGATCCATCCACCAGTTCTTGCCACCGATGCACCATGCACCTGGCGTCACTCTGTTCTGGCTGCGCTTAAGGATATTCTGATCGATCATGTCAAGTACTGCCTCGTCTTTATTAAACTGTCTAGCAAAAGCAGCTCCACTTTGCGCCATCAGATCGTAATCAGAAGTGTTAAGGAAGAGGGGCTCCATCTTAGGGGGGTTATCCCAAACCATATATCTCATGTCACTATTAACTGTCGTATTCTTAAACTCCGGTGAATTGCAAACAACAGAATGGAAATAGACTTCTTGTGACAAAACTGCATTAGTAAAATACATTAAAAGGGTTCTAGGAAGGTTGTCCCATCCAAAAACACAGAACTCAAGAAATGGTCGGCTCAAGACAACCCAAGGAGAACCTGCATTTGAAATTTTAAGTACCTCGGTCAGTCATCAATTTTCGGAAAAAAAAGTGTAATCAGTTAACTCAATCACAATGCAGTATGAATAAGAACTCTACCAGTAAAAATTTTGAACGCCTCAGGCATTGGCCGCTTTTCAGTGGCATAAAAAATTTGTGTCTTTCGTGCTAGGTAAAGCCCTGGATCAACTACAATGGGCTTTACTCGTTGACCCCTACAATTCCATTAGACAAAACAACTATTCAAGATTTTGTACATACAAATGTTTGTGTTGATAACAAAAAGAAAAATTGGAAACAAGATTTTGCCTACTCTTTCCATCCAAGATCGCTGGTGTGGTCGATGAAATTCATGTCTCTACTAACAGATAAGAGGACATGAGATAAGTCTGAAAGCAGAGTAGAAACCATGTCAGAGTCAGAAAAATGAGCAACAGAGTCAATCCACAAATACTATGTAGTAGTAATTATTATAAAGGTAGCAGGACCTAGTATCAACATAACAAGGCAAATCTCCAAGTAAACACGCAACTGGATGTCTCATGCACACGATGGTTCAACATTCATCAAGGAAACTCCTGGATGATTCAATATGCAAGGCCTATCCTTATCATTTGGCATATCAGCAGACTATAATGGTCATATAAATTACAAGAAGACGCCTGTCCATTCTTCAAAAAAAAGAACCCTGTCCTAAAACCTGTTTTAACAGATGATTTCTAACTTATCATACACCCTATTGTTTCTGGCACTTCGATTATTGTATTATTTTTGTGGTAGTGACTATTTCGGTTTTAGTATGCTTTGTTTAACATTTTGTCTTGGCTTCTTCACTCCTGTTGTTTCTTTTTCTGAACTTCTTTGTAAAGCTTTTACTTGAGCAGAGGATCTATCGAAAACAATATCTCTACCTTGAAGGGGTAAGGATTGTGTACACACTACCCTCCCTCAGACCTCATTAGTGGGATTATATTGGGTATGTTATGGTTGTTATCATAGACCCTATTATCCTCCGCATCCTTCCCCTCCCATCAAAAATGAGGAGAAACTATCATTTTATCCCCCTCTCATCTAGTGGAGAAACTATCAAAAATCCGTCGATATTTTAGTGGAGTTATTCTAAACAATAAGATGAAAAGCACCAAGTATGTTCAGGATTTTGTTTTAGTTGATTGACGGATTGGTTGAAAGAGCAGGGAAGCAAATGAGTATTCCTCTATTTTTCTAAACGACGGAAATTATTCTCCATCTCTTACTCCTATAGTCATTAAGTCGTTACTGGCAAGACAATTACGTGTAAATAAATATCAAACATTCAATAGATTTCCCACTACATGATTCAGATTTGAACCCTACATTCATCACGATGTTAATTGCAAGTCAAACTTTCCTTTCTTGCTTCTACAGTTCATTAAGCAATAACTGATAAAGTTAAAACTCATATTTCTTCGAGAAAAGTTGTTGGGATCATTTCATGGTTATAGAAGTTCTGGTTTTTTTTCAAATCTACAAAGAACAATAGCCTGAACCAACCCAACTAGTCTTATGTACTTGGCAGGTCTTTTGGCCGAGAATTATGATAATAAAACTAAAGCTACTTCAAGAACATATCTAATAATTACTTGGAAAATTCCTTTTCTGCACATGGCTTCTATAATTGAGTGCATTCCACATATTTAAATTGATATAACTAAAAAAAGAATCTCTATCACATGGAATAGACTTGCCATATTTTAGCAAATAAGCAGGACATGAAACATTTACATCCTTCGTGCCCCCCAAGTGGTAGTGAAAGAAAACGAATCACCCTCTAGCATAGTTTAGATAGCTCTAACATAAAGATAATAGTCGGCAAATTAGTTGGCCAACCATCTGCAGATTGGGAGGCTAGATGTACGCATAGTTGGATCAAATAAACTCAAGCAGAATCATTGTTCTCAAGGGGGAAAGATGGTGTCATATAAGGTCAAAACGGTACATTAAACTCTTGCCGCAAATGAACTGGTTTCTGAAAAGCTATTCAAATTATCAGTCAATCAATTAGTGTGTCATCTTATTTTGAGTGAACACGAAATGTCAACATCTCTTTAGAGAAGCAGAACTACAAGCAGATACATATCGACAAACAACATCAAACTATCACATATCATAAGAATGAGAACTGCCACATAGTTACCCCGACAAGAAATAATAGTTATGTCTTTCCGACTTTATTCACCAATCATATGCCATAAAAACACAATGCTCCATGTAAAATGAGCTTGATCTAGAATCACAAACCTAAAATACACTTGGAGACAAATTTCTAAGTTGAGATACTAATCCAGTAGGCAATACAGTATTAGTCAATAGTACAATGACATGAGATCCAACAACAACAACATACCCAGTGCAATCCTACAAGTGGGATCCGGGGAAGGTAGAGCATACACAGACCTTACCCCAACCTCGTAGACAATGAAATGAGATCCAAAAATCAAAATTTTGATTCTCACATACAGCTCATATCCAAAACTTAAAACTCATCCAGAGGAGAAAAAATCTAAACTTCAAGCAAAACTAACTCCCAAAATTCAAAACTCATGAATCTTTTTACCAATTATAAGTTTCTACCTTATCAATTACTCGATCGTCGATCGGAAGCTATCTTATCCAAACAAATAAACTCAATTATGAACAAAACCAACAAAACAACAACCAATTCAGCTAAAGCAAAAACTTACCATCTTGTGTAATTAAAGGATAATCAGAGGCACTTAGATTAACAAACCAATCCCATCCACCATCCACCTTCAACAAAATCGATACCGCCCTTAGCATTGCCGCTATATTAGTTGAACCCATATAAGTAA